GAAATAAATATAAACAGATTCATTTCACTCTTCAATTGTATTTTGACGAGATTTTCAAACCATACGAGTTGTTTCTTGTATTTCAAGTGACATATATGACAAGAACCAATTAATTACCTTCATTCATTCTTGTTAAGCTAATATTCAATGATTATCTCAATATGATAATTAGTCAAAAGATCTGTTCTATCTAAAATTCTTTTGAAGACGGGAAATTGATTCAAATATTGGATAATGTGCATGTAGATGATCAACAGTGTACACTATCGATGATTCTCTTAGTAACTTTAAGATAAAAAAAAGCATAATGTTTATAGATAAAGGTGTATTATATGATGTAAGAAAATTATATTTCAAAAACATGATGTTATTCAATGGACAAGGTTATAAAACATATTCATCAATGGATTGTTTTAAAAAATTTAAAAGCAATATATAGTTACTAGTTCTGTTTCGTTTTCGAGACAGAAAAAGGAAAAATAGCTGGTACATGTTGTTGATAATCAATATAAGCTTGACCAAATATTTGTATTAATTTGCGTTCTTCAAAATAAATACCAATTGATCCATATATACATGTATATATAATAAAAGCCAAACGATCAAGTGACATAACAGGCGTGATTGTTAAACTCAATAATGTAATCAAATACAAAGGATGACGACAATAACGAAATAGACCAGTTGTCACTAAAGTCGGATTATTTATTGTTCGTGCCTCTGACTTTACTGACGATGAATAGGGGCATCCAATACTTTCGGTTTTATTAAAGATTTGTTTTAGACCACAAAATTCAAATGGATTAAACTGGATAACCACATACCATGCTTTTAAAAAAATATTGTTATAATAATAAATACAGAAGAGAACTATAGTTACCTGGAGCGTAGATAACATTGAATATAAAGAATAACGCAAGGTTTTGTTGATAATCACTCATCGTTGATGGTAACCAATTCCAAAGTTGTATATGTGTATGTTGCCAAAAACCCATAATAATAAATGCAGTGACAGTTACTAGCAAACAATAAACAGTTCGAAGTGTTTGTTTAGGAAACAAGAATCGGCCAAGAAAAACTTGAGCAAATTCTTGTGCAAAAACTGTATGAACCAAACCAAAAATTGCATTAAGAAAAGCATTAAATATTAGTTTAGCAATAACTGATGATGATATTGTATTAATGTGCACATATGGAAAATTAAAAAGAGGATTTAGAATAGGTAGATAAGTTGAAATAAAATTTGTATATATTACTGGCATTTGCATATCACATGCAACCCAAAAGAAAAGAGTGAACGCAAGAGTTGCTCCAAACAATACATTTAGTATAAGCCAGATAATGCGAGTAGCGAAATTCATCTAGAAAACAGTAAAATAAAAATTCATATGTATTTTATTCTTTACTATTATTTTTTTCTGAGTGTATTTAGAGAAGACGATCGTCATTAACGATAGTAACTTGATGTGCGAAATTTCTTGAACAAAGCTAAAATTAGAATTCTGAGTTAAGCTTATTATCTAGTTTTATGTTGTATTCAAACAAATAATAAATCACTCAATCATATCTATCTATACCTCTGGAAAGCAAAAGTTAGACACTTTATTCTGGATATATTGTCACTATAACAGCATATTGTTAAGAGAAAAATACCATATCCGGAAAGCGCGTGAAATTCTCTACCACCCTGTATATTTGTATTTTAGTTTTCGCTTCTGAATAATCAACATAAATTAAGTATAATGAAGACAACCTCATGTTCAGATTCCTACAGACATGGCTTTGTCTCTGTAATCAAATTAAGTTTTTTAGATTTTACATCACTGTAGAATGATTGTTTTGAAAGAGCAATTATATATCCTGATAGCGCTTGAAATTCTCTATCTTTCTATATATTTGTTTACTTCTTTATACTTATCTATTATCAAAATAATATACGAACAATGAAGTCATTTCAACTGACAATTTCGAAAAACCTTGTGTATGACATATTTTTTCAAACTATAAGTACAAAGAAAATTATTTTTTATAAAAATGATTATGTATTCTAATAGAGTTTCAAATTTTCTATCATCCTATGTATTTTTATCTTACCCTATATGGTAACATGTATATTGGAATAAAATCTATACTAAAAATTCCAATTTTAGTGTATCTAAAGATTTCTTTACTTAGTCAAATTTCGAAACCGTACATATACGAACTTGCCCTCCCCCCCCCCCCCCAATGGTTAAATAGTAATCTTGCGATTTAGAATTTGATTTGATCAGATACTTTATTACAAGGGGAAAAAAGCAAATCCTCGGATCCTTTTGGATCCCAGTTTAGATCCTTTTGGATCTTTTCAGATCCTAGGATCTAAAAGGATCCGAGGATCCGCTTTTTCCCCCTTGCTTTATTATTTATTATAAAAAATACCTATTATTTATTATTCGTTTATATGATCTTAGAATTATAAATGCAATGATGGATTCCATCCAAACCAATAATAGTGTCTTATGATAGATGGCTTGGCATGTATAATAAACAATGGCAGAATACATTGAGTTAAATATATATAAGTATATATATATATACACTGTACCTAAACTATTCCGTAACATCTATATGCATACCACGTGTGTTGGAATAAAAAATTCATACTGAAAACTCCAGCTTTAGTGTATTTGAGGACTTCTTCCCAGGTTAAATTGTAGAGCCGTTTATATACGACGACGATTCCTAAAGGGCTAGTGAGGTCATTTTAAGAAGAAAAAGTGTCACGTAAATAAAAATGATTGTTCGCAATCAAAATATAATGAAGACTATTAAAAGTTTTTTTTACACTTTATTTACATACCTAATTATTATATTTATCATTTTGTCAATAAAATAAAAATTGTGTTGTTTCTGCTATTCTTTTATATCTTTGTTCTCTTTCGAAGTATAAATATGAATTGTTTATCTAGTGCGCATGTTTCGTAAGTCTGATATGAGAGTATAATGAATGGTGATAAGCACCGATGACATTAAAAATTAAATTTATTGTCTAAATAGTAGTATAGTCGATGATATATGACGCATAGTCATTCTTGGCAAACTTTGGATCGGATCTTGTGATAATACATCAATTAACTTTTTATTTCAGTTGGTTTTGCAATGCATTTTAATATTATCAAAACGGCAACGAAACATACGACAAACCTTACCAAATAAAAAAAGCCATCAGAATCAACTTAAACTAAAGACAACAGATAAAGAAGCCTAAAATGACTCCAAAAAAAGAACACATTCAAAATCTATTTTTAATCAATAGCAACTGAAATAGAGCAGTCAGAGAAACGGAAATGTATACACTACAAGAATCGTTTGTTTTTTTATTTATTGTGTTTAACACAATTTTATTTTGTGAGTTCTTGTCTAAATCAACTAGTTCATCATTTTATAAAGTTTGATTCCTATAATAGTCTTTTTTCAAAGAGAATTTTTCAAAAATCAATTCAAGCATTCCAAACTACACTAAATTCTCATATCAGCTATGACTATTATTATGTTTAACTTTAATTGAAGTCTAGTTTAATCTAGCAATTTGCAGTATTCGTGAGTGTTCTCAATTGAAATCTAGTCTATCTTAGCAAGCTGCGAGCAAAGACAAGATCACTAAGGTTATCTCTTTTGAGTAGTACTTTGTTATCGATGTTTATTTGTCTTCGAATATAACGCAGTCCATAAATAATATGTAAAGTGCAAATATATTATGCTGTTAAATGTTGTTGAGTTATGTTTCAATAAAAAAAAGAAATGTAAATTGTTTTTTGTTTATGTATTTCCTATGATAGAATAATAACTGCCTTCTCTCGAAATCTCACAATTTAAAAATTTTAAATTTTAATTCACTTGTTCAAAGAAATGCTTTCGAAAATCATTTTTTCGATGTCGACACAGAAGAAATCATTGTTGTATACATTACAATATGGATTAGTGGAAATGACTGCTCTGACTAATTAAGAGAAAAAAACAAGTACGTGCCATGTTTTGTTAATGCAAATGACAATTTGAATTTATTTTTATGTAAAAGAAAATTATTTCATAGTTTTATACCTAATTAAAACCAATTCTGTCTAAGTCTAATTTTACCCAATGTTTAATTTTTTGCTTACGACATATATACATAAAGATGGATGTCTTGTTTGCATCTGTAGTCTATTAGCGTGTTCCCAAGAAAGTTAAAGAAATAAAGTTAAGTTAAACTGTGACACTGTTCATCTCTATTTTAGATGAATAAGGAAAATTTTCACTTCTACATCAAAGTATGCACTGCACTTAATATGCAAGCAAGAGTTATTTATGATGAATTATGTTCTGTTTGTGACGATGAAGCTCCTTCTCCTTGAACAGTTGAAAGATAGTCTAAATGGTTTCGTAAACATCGATAAGAGGTTGAAGACGAAGCACGAGCTACTTGTTTCGGTATCTCGTTTTTGTTCCGCCACCACTACTTCTTGTATACCCTAAGCATATATAGACAGCTATACATTACAAGAAACGAGAAAAAGAATAAAGAAAAAAGAGAAATCAAGAAGAGAATACATAATGAAGATAATATGAATTAATGTAACCGTCACACATTTTAGCCAAACAGGTCTTATTGAAATTTTACTATTATGCCATATAGTTGAAGAATGATATAATAGCACAGAAAAATAGTGCGTCGTTTTTACTGTCAATCAATATAGAAAGAAAGTTTCTTTAATCTTTTTACAGGGAATTAAATTACTACTACCACTACTTTTGATATGTCCTAAGTGTATTATTACATCAAGTTTTATAATAATTTGTTTAAAAAAAATCCAAAATCTACCAACGATATAGACTCGTGCATAATATGATCTTTATTTAGACAAACAAGTTTTTAACAAGACAAATAAACAAATAAAAAATTATGACTAATGAGATTTAGTTGATGATGAATTTTCTAATGTTCGTTCAACATATTTATAGAGAGTATTAATTCGAGTAATGATTTGAACGAGAATATCATTGGTTATTGTTGAACTAAATACCTATAGATAAAAAAAAAAGATTTTAATTTTTGTTTGTATTAAGTTTTTTTTTCTTTACTTTCATCCAATGAATATGTTCATCTTCATTTGTTACACCTGGTATATCCAAAACATAAGTTTTAATTACAAGATAAATAATAGCAATTGCAATATGTTGTGGTGAAAAATCTTTAATTAATGTATAATCATAATATGTATCTTGTAGAATAGACATAGCAATATCAATTAAATTAATATTATTTTTAATTGGTGTTGATGGTGTTATTGTCATCCATTTACTTAATGTATCAAAATAATGAAGAAGATATTTATTTGGATGATTAAATTGAAAATGAAAACCAAGTATACGAATTAAAAATAATTCACAATCTACTAATGTATTACGTAAACGATAATATTCATTTGATATACGTAAATGTGGTCGATTTGGATGAAGTGTTCTAAAAAGATTTTAAAAAAAATGAATAAAAAGTTTCAGCAACGATATCATATAGTTCAAGCGCCGCACAGACGCGACAATAGTTCTGACGAGTTTATGTTTCAAAATGTTGACAAATTGTCAGCTTTATATTTTTTAATATGTGTGTAAGATTATTATCAATTGTCTTTATTCGTGATGAATAATAAATGAATTAAATTCAAATGAGCCTTTGAAATTTCATTAACTTAGACATTCATATAACAGATAGATACTTATTTGTCTCTTTCATTAAAGTATCGTTTCTAGTTCTATGCTAGTTAGAATGAAATAGCAGTAGAGTCTGTCGATTGATCCCGGTCAAGTCCGTGTCTGAAATGTTTCTGTCAACCAGATTCGAAAATTTTGAATCCGATGGCCTTTAGTCGTCTGAAAAATGTGTAGGGTGTATTAGTCACTGAATGTAAAACAAAATGGAAAAAAAGTATCTGATATTTTCGGCGCGATTATCCGATTTCGATTAGAAACTTTCATTGAGAGTATCAAAGTACGGTTCGACCGGGTCCGAAAAATTTTGATCAACTGGATTTCGGTCTGAATTCGAGAAGTTTTAATCAACCAGATTATACTCTAAAAACGAATTTCTGTTACGGAACCTAAAATGATTCTTCCTGTAGATACCAACTCGGAACTTTTTTTTTGGTGTCTTATCAAACCCAACAAGATTCCGTATGAAAAGCACAAAATCTTCTTCACTTCACGGATCCTTCGAAACTTCGAGTTTATTTTCATGACATATCAAAAGAGACATTCTCCATTAATAAAAGATGTTTCAATTTTTCGCTTTAATATGAACATGCATGTCGTTTATTATTTTGTGAAACATACCTATGTGTAACATTGATTAAATCTCGAATTTTGACATGTTCTTCTTCATATTTACTTGCTAATGATAAAGCTGTTGCTGCTAAAGTCTATAGAATAAACTTAAAAATAATACTATAAAACATTTCAAACTTACATATTGATCAAAATCTGATTTTTCAAGATAACGAGAACATTTATGATAAATAACAGCAGCTGATGCTGTTGTTACAATACTTAATCGAAGTTTAGCCGCTAAATAAAATCAAAGAAAAAAAAATAAAAACAAGATTTTTTCATAATAAATAACATCTTATAATTATTTACCACATTCAAACATATAACTTATAATGATATAGCGTTTTTTTTCATCATCAGTTATCGTTGATAATGATGTCATTTTATTTAATCTAAAACTCAATAACTCACACAAAACAAGATTAGACCGATCATCAAATGAATTTTTTTTCTTTATAGAAAAATTTTTAGTAATGATAAATAATATTGAATTTAAAAAAAAGACTTAATTTGATTTGTTTCTCTTTCATTTAAATTCTTTTAGTAAAAATACAAGAACATATTGTACCGTCTTGAAACAAGGAAAAAGAAAATTAACAAAAAAAAAGCATGAGATTATTTGGTTGTCCGTTTTGTTGATGAAAATCGTCTTTCACGATTATCATCATCATCATCTTCTTCGACTTTAGGTATCGAAGGTGTTGTTGTTGTTGTTGTTTCGTCTTCAATTTCTTGATCAGTATTCGTTGTTTCATCTGTACTTGGTGGATTTTCAAGTGGTTCATCATCCATTGTTGTATCTTCTTCATCATCTACAGTATTTGTTGTTGATGTTGCTGGTGGAGGTGTTGGAGCAGCTAATGTCATTGGTGTTGTTGTTGTTGTTGATAATGTTATATATTCACGTCGAATTTTTTCACATGTTGAAACAAGAAATTGTGCCATACTTGGTACTGTTTGAGTATTATGAACAAAAAAATATGGTGATTGACGTGCTAATAAACGTAATGCACGCCAAATAAGTGATGGATCTTGTTGTAAAAGTTTTTCACGTTCTTTTTCAAGTTCTTTTGTTGGTTGTTCTTTATTATCATTAGAATCATTTGTTGATACTTTTAATGAAACTGTTTGAAGTTGTTCAATAATTGGTTCAAAAAATTCACGAATAGATGGAATAAATTGTTGACTGGAACTTCTTAATTCTTCAAAATTCATTGCACGACGTTTTGATGCTTGTTGTATGGATTGTCTAAGAAACAAAAAAATAATAATAATAATAAAATAAATAAAAGTAAAGGAGAGAAGCGCATAAAAAGTTAGATCAGTTCACTAATACTTTTCTTGACTAACTTCATTGAACCATATATCAACAGAGTTAATCCAGAAAGTACTAATGGGACGATTTAATTTCTTATGCATCCCTCTTCTTTAATTATTAGATAAATATTGCTTTTTTTTTATTACCGAATATTATCAGATAATCGATATGGTGCATAAGTGTGACTGGAATTTTTTTTCTGAAAATTAAGTTTAGGTTTGGAAAAATCTGGACAACCGTTATTTTTCCAAAGATTCCACATTTCTTCTCGTTTGAGTATATTCTAAATATTGAAATAGATATTATTTATTTTTCATTAAATTAAAAAAATTTAATTCTCAAACCTGAATACAAATAGTAAATACATCAGCATTTGTTCCAGTTTGTTTTAATAACTATAAAGAAAAAAAAAAAGAAAAACAAATATTTAATTAAAATAAAAGTAATCTTATTTTTTTAAATTTACATCATTAATTTGATTTGTTGTCTTTTTAATCCATTGAGATTGTTCTTCATTAAGTGTTTGTTGTGGTTGTTTGAATTTTACAGGTAAAACAAGATATTGAAATATAATAAGAAATTGAACAAGTATATTTTGTCGAAATGTTACATCATTCAATTGTAATTCTAATAACTATAACATAGAAACTTTCAATGTAGTAAAATAAACTTTGAATTACTGTAACCAAAAATATTCGAGTAAATGTTATTTTAATCTGATACTACTACAGTTCAATTTTATTCTAGTACTCAAATACCATATGCAAATATTATGAAAACTCATAAGATCAAATTTCGATAGAGACAGATTGTTCATTGAGTTTCTTTCTGATTTTTCTTAATCTCAATGCAACCTGTTCATATATTATACAAAAAATCAAATAAGATCAGGGACACATACTTTCAGTTTACTGATTTTCAATGTCACCGTCTCAATGTAGTTGTTACATATTGGCACTAGTGTTCACTGAAGTATCAGAACATACTGAAAAATTACTAATTCGTACCGAACTCAAACGCACATTGTTTGGACTCGATGCATGTCTATACACCTTATAATAAGTCTCAAATGATATATTATCTTATATCGTTCCGTGCATATAATCTATCTCTTTTTTTGCATTTTATATGAATTACTAACTTTTTCACTTGTTAAATATTTTGCAAAGAATGTATCATCTAATGAAGCAACAGTTTTAACATTATCTAATTGACTATTTGTAAAAACATCAAGTACTTGATTTGTATTCTAAAGAGAAAATTTTCATTATAAAAAAAACAAAAGATTCTGATGAATATAACATACATGTACAAAAGTATTCCATGACGTTCGTTCCCATAGTTGAAAAGGTTTTGAAAAAAAATCTTGTAATATCCAAAAATTAGTATAAAATTCAGCTGAACTTTTTTGATGTCTATAATAATAAGAAAAAAACGACATAAAAAATAGAAATTTCTATTTAATAATGACTTACAAATCATGAATTTCACCATCTTCATCGACTTCCATCTTTTTTTCTTTCTATCAAATGTATAATGAAATTTAAAAAAAAATGAATCAAAATATTTTTCTAACAAACTTCTGGTTCTTCTATTGGTGTCATTGGTTGTTTAGGTTTAGTAAGTTTTGTAACATTTTCCGTATTAAAATGACCTATTTGATTCAAACCTAAATAAAAAAAACAAAAGAATTATTAATTGTTTCAAAAAAAAAAACAAATCATATTATTCGTACCAGATTTTTCATTAAGCGGAAAAAGTTGTGCTAAAAATGTCAAAATACGTCCGGAAAAGACAGTTTTTTGAGTTTTTGATAAACGTTTTAATAAATCTAAAAGTATTCAATGTATTTTAAAAAGCTTTTCTTATAAATACAAAATAGATTTATTTACCATTGCACATTCTTAAAAGTACATTTTTAACAGATTGAAAAAAGATTGGCTAAAAAAGTAAATAATTTTATAATAAAAATAATCATTTCATAGAAATAATAACATACTGATCGCCATATTGAAGCTTTTTCTTCCATAACAACAAATATTCGTTCACTGATATCAATTGTTGTATAAGTAAATAAATCATTGAATAGATAAACAGGCATTGTTGCTGCAGCAAGTTCTTAAAAGAAGATACAAAAATAATTTCAAAAAAAAACTACATGAAACTTTTTCTAACCATTATGAACAGCATCGATAGCAAATCCAATTAAATTTCGAACATTTGTTAAGAATTGATCAGTAACAAATGTTGAAGTTTCCATATCATCAAGATTTGTACCATGTGTTGTTTCAAATTGTTGTTCCTATAAAAGAATTTATTAAATAAAACTAATCAATTGATCATTCTTACCATAAGACCGAAGAGAACAGATCGAAATGCATGTTCAACTGCTGTACGATATTCTGGTGAGTTATTTCTATTCAAAAGAAAAGATTAAAATTCTAAGTATTAAGATAAAAAATATTTCAATGCTATATTAATCATTATATACGAGATCAAAATATTTTATTAGATGAATTAAATACAAAAAAGAAAAGAAAAATAAATTTCTAAAGAAATATGATATCGAATTTTAAGTTATGCATTTTTCTCACGAAAGTATCTCTTCAGATATCAAATTGTTTTTCGACTGAAACAATGTTTATTTAATGAGTAATAGAAAACTCTTGAATCGTTTAGTTTTTCGAGTCTTTGTTCTTAAGATATCGAAATTTTACTGGGTTTTTCATCCTATCAGGTCACGTAGAAAATCAACTTTCGACTTGAAACTTTACACGAATAAAGTTCTTAATGAGATTAGTTCGTTGGGCAAGTCATAGTTTTTATTATCTCCTATCTTGAGATATTCAACATTGTAGGCTAAATATGAGCTCAGTGAATGAGTCAAAGTTTGGATAGTTCTTCGCGTTAGTAAAATTATCTTTTAAAATGCATTTACTTACTTATTAATAACTTCACGAATTTTTTGAGTATTCCACTCCGATTTCTTAAGATCAGTCTATTAAAACAAATAAATTATCTTTTATTATTTTTCAAATATCAAATCTTTTTACTTCGACATTTTGTCTAATAAATTCAAATGATGATGACATTTTTTCAATCATCTGAAAAAAAAATCGATAATGATTAAATATATATTCGTCATTAAGTATTACACATAATAATCATGGAAATGGAATAATTAATTTTAAAAAAAAAAACATACACATACAAATTGACTACAATCATTCGGCACAAGAAAATATTTCGATATTCACGTAGGAATTTGTTTGTGTGGCAGAAAATTAAATATGCTTAGTCTGTTTGTCTCTATCTGATACATAAAGATATTGCTTTGTATATTAACGGTAAAAATTACTGTTTTAAAATCAATATTGTCTACGAGAAAGAAAAAAAAAGAAGGATTAAAAATAATACATGGAATGCAACGAAAGAAGAAAAACAAAAGACATGACTAAGAACAAAACAAAAAAAGATATTATCATTTGATAAAATTTTTTATTTCTTCCATTAAATTAGATAGAAAATGTGTTTCAGTTGATTTACCATTAATTGAAATACCATTTTGAGAATTCTTTAAAAGTAAAAACAAACAAAAAAAAATAAAGTATATCTTTTATTCAAAAATAAATATTAATACATACAGTTGATTTAAATAGAAAAGCAATTGGATGTCCAAGAATTGTTTCTGAATATAATGATGCAGCTGAATTAATTTTATCAACAACTGAAATAATAAAGATAGATGATATTTATTCTTTAGAATCAATTTAACTTACCAGTTAATCGATATGTTTGACAAATTGTATTAATTAATGATGAAAAATCTTGACTAGATGATGAAATACTAATATTCGATTGACTTGTTAAAGTACCTGAGCTCATTAACTCAGCAAAGGCATCACTTAAAAACAAAACAACATTTTATATATAACACAACAGGAAGGAACATAAAGATCATCTTCAGTTTCTCTCCATTCCATAGTTTATCTAATGCAAAATTTCATGAGAAATCGTTCACAGTTTTTTATGCTGATTCCAAATATATTATTTGTTTTGACGCAAACTCTACTTTTTACAATCGAAACTTGTCAAAGATCGGTGAAAAAAGTTTTACCAGAGAATAATCATATGATGCATTGTTGATTGACATAGTTTTCAGTTGAAAATGTCCTAGTATCAGAAAATTTATAATCAATAATTTAAGCGAAAATGAGTCTGGATCCTTCAGAAATCCTTTTATTTTGTTACTAAAAGATGTCTTATCAAATTCTGCATTAGCTAAACTATAAATGAAGGAAAATTGACATGATGGCTTTTTAGTGCCTCTGTACTTTTTAAAAATGAAAAAAATTATTCTCACGGATCAAGAGATTTTTTTCGTAAATATTGTGAACAAGGTAAATCAAGTTTAAATTCAATTGTATCTGTTTGGATTTCATTCGATGATTTCTAAATAAATATATCAAAAGAATTCTTTGAAAAACTATGCGTTTTTTTTTAAATTCTTACATTTATTGAATGAGTTAATGTAGTTTTTAATTTTTGTTGAAATGATATATCATTAATAGCAAAATAAATATGTATATAATTTTGTGAATATGGAAAAAGACTTATTGATGGAAATGAGACATGATTTGCACTTGTTGTATTGAGTAATTTTGAACTTAAACTATCAATAACATGAATATCAATATGATCAATTATGGATGATGTACGATTTTTTAATAAAAATGTTACATCTAATTGAGCAGTTGATGGTGTTGGAATGGTGAAAGTTTCCTATAAATAATCAGATTTTAATTCAATTGATATTATAAAACTTCATTAAAGTTCATCGAGACTAAAATGTTTCTTGTTATTATATTCTTAACAATGTTAAAATCGCAACCCCTCACTTTGTGCTCTTTAAAATGACATTGTTAAAAAATAGCTTCTATTATCCATTTCAAAATATAATGTGCTCCACTGTTTTTTGAATAATTCGAGAACGCAAACAGCTAGAGATCTGCGCTTTTCACAAATCGAAAGAGGAGACGAGGGCACGTCTTTTCCTCCAATATTGTATAAGACGAAATCATTTTAAAATCAGCCATTTTTGCAAGACATCGAAAAAAATGTACAAAGACAATCTGTCATTCAGATGAAATTTTGACAATAAGAAAATTTGCTTAAAAATCAAAAGAATTCCATAATTTTTATGCGAGCAAATAGACGACTTTATTTGCTTAACGTTAGGATAGAGGAAGATAATCATTCCAATTAGATCTTGAATTATTGATCTGAAGTTCTTCTCTATAGGTCACATGCCAAAATCAAAATTTCATCGAAATGATAGATCGTTTTCATGCACCTTTTGTCGTGTTTTGCAGAAATTACTGGTTTTAAAATGACTTTCGTCTTATACAATATTGGAGAAAAAGACGTGCCCCCGTCTCCTCTTTCGATTGATGAAAACCACAGATCTCTAGCTGCTTGCGTTCTCAAGTTATTGAAAAAACACTGGAGCACATTATATTTTGAAATGGACAATAGAACCTGAAAACAACCGTGTCGGGTTTTTTTTAGAAATCTTGGCAAAAGAAAACTCTATTGACTATTAAAGCCACTATCTGGAATTTGAGCTAAGTGGTTAACATTGCTGTTAAACTTTTTTTCACCACTTTATATGTTATATAGATGGACGATCTTGTGATCTCTCTCTTTTCCTCTCAAGTCAGATATATAAAAGTTGCTGTTTTTTTTCCTATGTAAAATTAAAGGAGATCCTAACAGACAAAAGTCTGTCATCAAGTATCTGATCACTTGGATTATATTTCAGAAAGTTTCAGCTAGATTAACTGAATACTAAGAAGTCGATGTTTGTATGTCAATGAGAAATAGAGAGTAGACACTATTGTTGTGAGCTAGAGTTTATTGTAATAACCAATAGTATACATCTTAATTCGAAATGATCTAATTCAGGATACTTCATAGAGAAAATGAAACTTTGTTGAAAGCTATTTCGAAATTATGATTATGTAAGTAATTTAAAGCTAACTAGAAGAAAAGCTTGATAAGCTAGATTGTCAATGATTATATGTTGTCGGTCTCAAATGTTTTGAATTAGTAAAATTTATGATAGTTAGAGAGCTGCGTGCCCATGTTTTCGTGGATTCCACTAGAGATGTGCGAGACCGGAACTACGAGAACAAAAATTGTGCTAATCGAAGGTAAAGATTATAATTAAATATTCTATGGTTTTAAGTGAATTATCTTATAAATCATATCAATCAGAATATAGTTCCAAAGAGATGGCCTAAAAAAGTGTTAGTTATCGACTAAGTAAATCAAAAAACTAGTATTGAAGAATTTTTTTTTAGACGTGATACGAATAAATTCTGGAATAGTTTTCTTTAGATCAAGACCAAAACAAATGTGATCTCGCACATCTCTAACCCCGACAATAGGCAAAACTTTGAATCTAAATCCTACCAGATCTGGAAGGACCTGCAGCTCTTCCATCATAGTATGTGTTCTCAACGAATACTTAGGTTTTGACTTTTAGAATTTATCATCGAACCGAAAAAGTAATAATTTCAATAGAATATGGCTTTTATAGAATTGTTGTCTTTCTGTTTCTTATTGTCGCCAATAAATATTATGGCAAGTCTTCAGTATAGAGTTTTATCAAATTTGTGATTCAAAATGAACAGAAATGTGAAAATGTTCATTTCTAACGAAGAATGATTATGCTTACAATTGTTAAATAATCAGATTCAGCTGCTAGTTTGTAGACATTTTGTTCATTATATTGTTGATTGGATGTACTTGTTGGATTAATATCATCGCTCATCATATCGAATAGAAGTGGTGCCGAATTATCATTATTTGTTGATTTTTTTTCTTTAGTTTTCTTTTTCTTTGGTTTTGCTTCGGTAGTTGTAGTAGTAGGAGGAGGAGGAGGAGGAGGAGCAGCAGCTGTTGTGTTACTTGGTGATGGTACAACACTTTCTTTTTCATCATCAGCAGGTGATAATAATTCTTTATAATCACTGCGTTCTCGTTTACTTTTAGATTTAGATGTCGATGATTTTTCTTCTTTTTCAATTGCTTTCTTTTTCTTTGGTTTTTTTTGTTTTTCCATTATTGTCGGTGGATTTTCAACTGGTTTTGCAATTGGTTCTTGTATTTCTGTTGGTGGTGTTGACATTTTTTGTAGAGGTTTTTCATCTAAATCAATATTAAGTGCTCGATGTGGATCATATTTTTTATTTTTTCCAACAGGTTGATCATTTTCGTTATCTTCATTACCACTTTCTGTTACACCTTCAGGTAATTCTCCACCACGGGTTACTTTAATTGTTGGATATAAATCATCATCATTATCATCAACTGTTGTAAGTTCTGAGTTTTTCGATGTTTTCTTTCCTTTTTTTGATGATCCACTATCTGATTTGGATTTTTTCTTTAAACGTCGATTTTCTTCATCAATTTTTGCTTGACGATATAATTGATCCGCCAGTGATAATTGTAAATTTGCAGGAATAGTTCCTTTTGATGATGTGACTTGAGAACGATCAGCATTATTTGGAAGAGTTGAAGATACTTCAGTCTAGAAATAGAAAAAAAAAGAAATTAAGTTCGTTTAATAAAAAAAAAAAAAAAAGATCTTCAAATACAACATACTTTTTGTAATGATTTAATTTTTGTTGAATCTTTTATATAGAATGGATTCATTTTTTCGCTTTGTTTTCTTTTTTCACGTTGTTCTTCTATTTCTTCAGTACTTGGTTCAACATAATTTTTTGTTCTATTAGAATCTGATTGATCTCCACTATATGAATCAAGATTACTTCCATGGTAATAATTTTCTGTATTATCACCAGAAAATAAACTTTGATTATGTGTATTATCAAAATGTCTAGGTTTTATTTCGGATTCTTCATCACTTTCCGATGGTGGATCATTTATCCATGCATCCAAATCCAAACTAAAATAATTATACAACAAAATTAAATTTCAAAAATTTCATATGTATATATATATATATTTACCCATTTGGTATAGCAACTTTTCGTTGAGCTTTAGCAGCAACTGGATTAAGAACACC